GATGAGCCCTGAGTCTATGATCTTTCTCAAAATTACATTATTCCTTTCCTGAGTAAAATAAAACCTTCAGAGACAAATGGACGACACGCTCTGAAACATGATTTGTAATTAACGAATAAAAGGGGTAAAGACGAGGGGACGCTCGAGCAGAATGAGATTGTCAGGAAGCGTTGACTTTTCAGCTTCCGTGGAAGATTTAACTTTTACATGTTTCCTTTAAAAAGAAATAGATTGAATTCATGTTTCTCTGTTGGTTTGGAATTTGTCAGTGTTACGATTCCAGACCTTTGTCAGGAGCCATAATATGAATCCGTCAGAAATTCACAGACACAGAGACATGGAATAAAAAAATCCATTATATTCAACAGATAAACTGAAATGGGAAAGACACATTTCTACGACAAAGAAGACTTCAGATATGAAAGGATAAGAGGAAGATGGGACAACAACAAGTCCAAGTCACATGACCAGATTATTAACAATGTTATAATGAAACTTTGGATTGGTTTGATCTTCTCGTCTTTCTCTTATTTTGCTTTGACCTTCCACATTTTTCATTTCCCGCTCACATTCTCTCACTGTCTGATTTTACAGATGTTATTTCTCAGTTCTCTACGCTCTTATAGACCCGTACACACCCGGGATTAACGTTCGGATACCGTGATCCGCTCGCAAGTGGACAGCTCTGAGCACCTGTGTTCACACCTGGCAGTAAAATGTGGCCCCACAAGTGTCTCATGATTGGATCTCAGATCGGATCTCACTTCCAATCTGAGTGCAAATGAACATGTTCATCATTTTAGCTCGCAAAGATGCAATGCATGGTGGGAAGCAGCAAGGAGAAGAAGAAGCAAAAGAATAATGGATGTATTCTAAGAAGCGAATAACACAGGCGAGGCGTTCAAGGCATAGAATATCACTTCTGCTGTTGTTGTTGCCTGTTGAGTTTAAATTAATCCTCCGGTCTGTACGGATTCCACTTACAGAGGACTTCAGTTGTGTTCACACTGGTAAAAGGACGTGGACACATGTCCGCCTGCTCACATTTGTACTTAGAGCTGTCCACTTCCGATCAGAACACAAAACCTACATGTAAATACCAGGTGTCATTGTCTCAGGTGTCTTTAACTTGACACTGTTCTGATTGGCTGTTGACGTCCATGGGTTCAAGAATGCATTTTTATTTTATTGTTTATCTCAGACAAAAGTGGATATAGTTGTTTTTTCAATAGATGAGTCTGAGAATCCAACACTTTCCTTGGCAGGATTTCATTTGTCAGTGTAGGCGTACTCACTGTGTTTCACTAGACTGCACTTAATTTAACATTTACCCACTGTGTGTTTTCCAAAAATGTTAGATGTTAAAAACTCACAATAGCTTTTCTTAAAATGGACAGGGCTAATGGTGTAATATTATATAATATGCTGCTGAGAGGTTTTGATAACATATTAACCTCTGCATGTAGCGGTGTCGATTGTCACTTAATTGAAAATGAAATTAAGAACATTATAAACTTAAATATATGACATTACATTTACATTGCAAATATAAGAGCTTTATAGATTCTCTATGCTAAATTTAGGCAAGAAAGCAATAACCATATTTTGAGAAGGATTCTTGTAATAGTAAAATACATGTTCATAAATATTAATTTCTTCACTAAAAGCACGTTAGGATCATATCACGTTTCAACTGAACAACAAACATGATCAATTTAAGTTATCGTTGCTTCCTGTGTATTATTATTACTGGAAAAAATTGCTGCTGTACATTTATATCTTTAAATCTACTACAAATAATGATGTGTAACTTAATTTGAGTTGTTATCGTTTTAATCAGTGCTATTATTGTGTTGTTCAGATTGAAATTTGGTTTGAAAGCTCCCTCAGGTTCAGCGTCAGCCTGATTTCATTTGTTCGTTGTAACTGAATCTCTTCCAGGAGCGGACTGTAACGATCAGGCGGCAGACGATTGGAGGGTTTGGTCTGAGCATCAAGGTAATTTAGATCGCAGCCGATTACACCACTCCTCCTCCCAACTTCTGTAAACAAGCATTATTGATCATTCTCTTGTAAAACGACAATAACAGCATTAGCAGGGGGACTCACTGAAAATTGAGTTGCTCTCGAGTGTCTCCGGCGTTTGAGTTACCTGTGTAATTCATTTTGATTCAATCTTTTTCTCTTTAGGGTGGAGCAGAGCATAAAATCCCTGTTGTCATATCAAAAATATCAAAAGAACAAAAAGGTATATTGTCATTTTTTAAAACTTTTTCCAACTAATGCCATTTTTTTGCCAGTTTGTTTTTTTTACTAAAGTGATTTCCTATTTCCAGCTGAACTCTCTGGGCTGCTCTTTATTGGAGACGGCATCCTTCAGGTAAAATGTCACAATTTCCACAATAACTCGTTCCACACTGCAAAAATAACACACTGTTCCTTTATTAATTCAGGGGTCACATTGAATAGTTATGTATTCCTATAGCAAAATGTCATTCATTCATTTGTCGCATGAATTTCACATGAATTTTGATGGAAAAAAATCTGCCACATCTCGTCTTAGTCGGCTCATGTGTTGCAGGGGAAACATTTACAAGCCAAAGACATTCAGTATTCATGGCAACTGCGGATGTGACTCTCTTGTTTACAGTTTTCAGCACAGATGCCATGACAGTTATTGTGCTGCTTCATTAATCATTTTGAAGATAGAGCCAGAGTGATATGATGCCAGCAGTGTTATTTAGGGTAACCCTGTTACTGTTGTTTCCAGATAAATGGAATAAACGTTAGGAGCTATCGCCACGAGGAAGTGGTAAGCTGTCTGCTCATATCTCATATTTTCTTACACCGCAACAGCTCTTTCAGCAGCTTATCTCGTCTCACTTTATGATTTGTATCTTTGACATGTAAAGCCATGTGGTTTTTTTTTCCAGTCTCATCCCTCCTTAAATATAACTGCGAGAAAAGTGTGTGTGTGTGTGTGTGTGTGTGTGTGTGTGTGTGTGTGTGTGTGTGTGTGTGTGAGTGTAAGGAGCATAAAACTTTCAGTCTATGTAAATCCCTTTATCTTGGATTTCCATTCTTAGCCAGACATTGGCACACCATGTTGTCATCGCAGCAGACAATCAGCAGAAAGCTTCACAGTTTGCAGCTCCTGTAACGATTTACAAAAAATAAATCTCGTTCTACCTTCCAGGTGCAAGTTTTGAGAAACGCTGGCGAAGAAGTGACGCTCACGGTCTCGTTCTTGAAGAAGACGCCAGCCTTCTTGAAACTGCCCCTGTGTGAGGACTGCACATGTGAGAACCCTCCACATGCACATGCTCTGAAAAGTATATATTCACCTCAACTACAGCGGAGAATAATCCACCAAGTGTGTTTATGGCTGGTGTTACTGTTTCTGTGTAGGACTGGTTGTCCTGGTGACAAACTCAAGCCAGAAATTCCAAAAATAAACATTTTCTCTACTGTTTGGACTTGCTTGTCTTGACAAGCACATATTACAGATGCTAAAGAGAGGACAGGATGCGGCTCAGGCTTGACCGAAAAGTCTAAACTCAAAGAGATTGACATCGCTCATTGTGGTGCACCTGATTCGCTCTTACATGGGAAAGCTTTGGTTCATCATCAGACATGAAAGCGTTTAAAAATCCTTTCATATTTCTATATAGGGCAGGTTGAGTGGCCAATCAACCAGTCACCCGAATACAAATGAGCTCAGGGCAGGAGGAGAACAAAGTAACACACTTCTGTGGATGGCTGCGATTCAATGCAGTTGGAAACTCTGAAATAGAAAGAGGGGTTTGAGGTGGGGGCTTTACTGTTTTTTTCGTGTGTGTGTTTCACTTTCAGGCATTCCAAGCGACCAGAGTAGTGGGACGTCCTCTCCTCTGTGTGACAGCGGCCTGCACTTGAACTACCATCCCAACAACACGGTACTTTTTCCTTTTTTCCATCATCCTCTCCCTTGATTGACAGATTCTATAACTGTCCCTTTGTAACCATGCAGCAACATTCCCTCTGCCAGAAAGTTGTTTTCATGCAACTGTCACTTGGACGCTCTATCTTTATCTTTTGAGGAGGGTGAATCAGCTTCCCCCTCTGCAGCGCGTGCCCCACTCGGTCTGCCTGATGTACAGCTGCAACAACAACAGCAGCAGCAGGACTCAGGCTCTTGACTTGTCAACTGTTCTGAAAATGTGTGAAGTGAGAAACGACAAGCTCCTCTTTACTTGTGTTTCACGCTCCCGCAGGACACGCTGTCCTGTTCGTCTTGGCCCACGTCCCCGGGGCTTCGCTGGGAGAAGAGATGGGTGGACCTGCGCCTTATTCCACTGCTGCACTCACGCCTGTCACAGTTCATGCCAGGCTCTGATGTCTGCAGGTGAGCTGAGGGGACGTCACCCTGCAGGGTCAGTGGGATCTGTTCTCACGTGCGGAGCCGATGGCAAACAGAGCAGAAAATATGTTTGTGCAGCTATTTCTTATCCTTTGAAACAAAGACACAAAACAAGTCACAACAAATTTTACTTGCACTTGTTCTGTGCATGGATGGTTCTATTGAACAATGGATGCTCAGTTTAATAATCCATTATCTTGTCAATAAATAGACTTTCATTATGCTACACTGTGGATGATAGAAACAGTAATCTTGTAGATTGGCTCTTAATGAACTGCACTTGTGGTTTGGCACGTTTTAGCACATTAGCAGGAAATTACTCAAAGATATCGTACGTTTTTAGATTGATTAGCTTCACTCCAGGATTTTTTTCAGCCTAGAATGAAGATTAACTTGTCCTTGGGTCTGACGTCTTTGCTGAGATGAAAATGTTCATTATCACAACAGTTATGTGTCTATATGCTACAGGCAGCAGCAGGTTAGACCGTAAACAGTTAGCCTGGCTTAAGTTAAAAAATACTGAATACTCTAGAGATGCTTTCAGACATGCACTGAAGGACGGACATTTTTCGGAAATTTTCCAGAGGGGCTGTATGTGAGACCAAAAATGTTGGAGTCAATTGTTGTGGACATTTTCTGTAGCTCCTCCTAACCATGCATATTAAAATATCCGGAAAATGTTTGAGTGAGCCTGTGAAAATGGTGCTTCCCTACATTAAACATTTGATCATTTGATTATCATTTGAATTTTGATTAGCAATTAGATGCAGATAATCTTTTTTGGGGGTTTGTCTTCTTTAACAGCAAGTATATGTCGATAGTTTATGGTTGTGTTTGTGATGTTGCTTTGTTTGGATGTTGTTTCGCCAGGTTCTGTATGTGGGGTCAGAGCAGCAGGTCGATCAGGGAGAGTGACAACAGGTTTGCATGATCAGGGCTCTGAGAGAGGAGGGGCTGGGCAGACTCAAGCTGACAGAGGACGGGTGAAGTCTGCTGCATTGGATCACATTTTAATCAACCTATTGGATTTATCTTCTGTATTTGTGCAGGTAGATTGAGTTGTGAGGTCAGCAGTAACCCAGAGTCCAAACTTGGTATTGTGCTGAGTGTTGTTTCTATTTGTCTTCCTGTTTAGCTCACCTTAAACTTACCAGCTCAGGTGGTAGGTTCCAGGCAGGTGAGGCTATAAAGCAAAATGCCAGTCAGTAGTGTGCGGGGGGAAAGGGAGGAGTTGGCAGCTTGTGTATTGTTTATGTATTCATTCAAGTTTTCAGTAGCTGACAAAGATGTCCACTTGGAAAGACAACAAGATTCAAGGGCTTATGATGTGAACATTTCCTGTGCTGGTGTCTCCTGCTGCATTCAAATATGAAAGGCACAAACTGGAAAGTGTTTGAAGCAAACTCTCTGGACATTTTCCAGAGTTCATGTCTGAAAACAGAAACATTTCCCACATTCACTTATTTCTTTATAGATGAGATTATTGTAACCACTCGTATGTTTGTATGCAACAGCCAGCAGCCAATTAGCTCAGCTCACCAATCACAGATATGCAAGATATGAAACTCTATCCTGGCTCTGTCCAAAGTTCAAAAATACAACATGCAGCACCTGTGAAGCTGATACACACATTTATTTAGGCCTGAAATGAAAAAAAAGCAAGTTGTGATTATAAGGGTCATTGTGTGCTGACCTCAGAGCAGCTTTAACGTGTTACTACAGTTTCACCCACTGTGTGTTTTTCGTCTCTCTTTTAGGAAAAATGCTTTCCAGGTCATTGCTGTGGACGGAGTTTGCAGCGGAGTCGTACAATTTCCTGCAGCAGAGGACTGTGTGGACTGGCTTCAGGCAATAGCGGGCAACATCTCCGGTCTCACCAAGCACAATGTGAGTATGAAACAATAATACTTGTTTGGACTGCAGCGTCCCCCAGTCGTCCATTTAAAGCAGTGAGATGTTGGGTTCGGTGTTAATGCAACAGACGTTCAGTTCGTGCATCTTCTAAAAGTCCCTCTGCAAATGCCATGACATTAAGCAGACACATACTAATGCCTTTTCTCACTGAGTAGAGTACACACTTATTTCTTAGTGCCTGTGATCAAAACAACAGAAACTGCACTGTACCACACGTGCAGTGCTCCCTCCAGCTAGACCTGAGCACTTGTACTATCTATAATTCATCCTAATATATTATACAATAAAGATACAAGGAGGCAGCAGGAAACAAAGAAATAATGATGCTGTATTCTTTGTTTTTTGTGTGAACATGTTTTTTTCCCCAGCTCCACCACAGCTGATGTGGAAAAAAATGAAGTGTGTTTCTGTGTTTCCAGACGGCCGATGATGCTCAGCAGGGGGGTCAAAGACAAGTGCTGCCAACAAGCTTCATCGCTGTGCTGTCTCGTACAAAAGCTGACAAAAAATTGTCCAATTTTGACAACGTTTGTCAGGATATTTATGTGTTTTTTTCCCTTCACATCTGTGCGGTAAACGATGATTTACACTCCCTGAAAGAGAGAGAGAGGAAAAGACTGTTAAGCCATCGTCTAGTAAAATGTAACCAAAACGTAACCGCGGTCTTGTTGCTCCAAATGGAATCAATACAACACGGAGCGAGTGGTGGTGAAAAACAGGGATTTGTATTTATCCTGTGTCCACTGGCGTGTGTATGAGTCTGTGTGTGTGTGTGTGTGTGTGTGTGTGGTGTGTGGTGTGTGTCTTGGAGCAATGGCCTGTGTGTATCTGTGGGGAATAATGGGGGCCTGGTTAATTAGAGTGGACAAAGTGAGGGATAAACTAAACATAACACTGATGACTCACTGCCAGAATGGCCTCAACAATTGAGAGTGTGTGTTTCGCTCTGGCCGTGACATTTAGTTTAGGTGTGTGACTGAGCTGCAGGACGCACAGATCCCTGCATTTAAAATCATCTGTACATGGTTATGAGATGACATCAGTAATATCTGTTATTAATAAGCTCTAATATCTTTACGTTTTTTACTGAGAGAAGCTGGAATTCAACAAGACATGATTGTCCTACTTCTTTTGTTCCCATTTGTACATCTCCTGCTGCATAAACACATTGTTCACTGTCGTTTATAGTAAACAGGGTCCTCCTCAGAATAAGCTCCAAGTGCTAAGACGTGAGTAGAAAAATTAAAATAAACTGTAAAAGAGCTGCTTCACTTGCAGCCAAAAAAACCAAAAGGTATAATAACTGTTTTGAAACCTTCTGCCAACTCTTAACTTAACTCCCTGAGGGAAAGGTAACAGGGGCACATATAAACCTGCAGCAGATGGTGGATAGAGTCGTTTATTAATTTCAATGTGAAACTGCAACGTTACAGCAGCAAAAGTCATAAAAACACAACATAAGGACACAGAACAAAAATATATTATAGATTTATATCAATCATTTGTTTAGACAATAATCTATTACTACAAACTAGGATCAGTATTTAACTAACAACTGTGTCTGTAATAAATGTATCTACTCTATATCATATTTCCGATAAGTACTGACTAACTGTACAGTAAATCTGAATACACGTAATTACAGTATTAACAGGTATTTAATATGTATCAGTAAAGAAAAGAGGAATCATACTGCACATGCTCTCAGGCTGTACGATCTTTAGATTTTACATATAAGCTCATATTTTTACTGACAATATCACTCTTTTTTTAACATTAAAATTTTTTTTTTGTATATTCTATTTTTACACTTTCAAAAACAAATCTCAGTATCCATGTGTGGTTTGTGTTTTTATTTATCTGCTGCACCAGCTCCTGCTCTTTCGGGATAAATAAAGTGAATGATTGATTGATTTTGCTGCAGAGGAGTCCTAGAGCGATCTTTAAATACAGAACAATAAACTTAAAATAGATTTGGAACATTTTGACTGTTTGAATTGAATATTCATGGATTGGCCTTTATAGAAAAATGAAAATTAATGGCCCCCTTGTAGATGAGACAGCCAGCGGACAAAAATAGCACCGACATCTCAAAATCTATTAAAATAAGGCGCCGAGTAAAGAGAGGGGTCAACCTGTGCTTGTAGTTTCTGGTCCGTCTTGTTTTGCTGTCAGACCCTTGAACTGATCTGTTTATTATCAGATATTTAATCATGAAAAAAACAAAAACTGATGGAGCAGGGAATCCGCTCATGTCTGTCTGCTCCACAAGCTCCCATAAAGGTTCAGTGATGTTCAGGTCTGGTAACCTGGGAGAACGTGCTGGCGTTCCTGAAACCTCTCCTGAGTTTGTTTAGCGATGCATTTGAAGGCGCCATTGAAGGCGATATGGGAACATTATGAAGGGAAGTGTTGCTCCATTGCTTCTAACGACTGCCACCAGCCGAGCAGCAGGTACGTGGGGCTGACGGCTTCTTTTAGCTTCCTCCACACATGATTCTGAATCAAGTCTGATCGAGAAGATAAAGTGTGACTCATACCTAATGACTCATTACCTTTTTTTGTTTTGTTGTTAATGATCCCTCTAACAGCTCAGGTGTCATTGTGCTCTGTTTTTTTATTTTAAACAAACATTCTGAACAGTTTCTGCTCACAATTTAATTATGTGGCCATTTTCAAAGCTGTTGTTCAGTGGCATTCAGCAGCTCCTCTCTTAGATGTCTGCCTGCGCCTGTCACCGAGCTCTGACACGTGATCGCTGCTCGTCTTTTTATCGTCGTTTAGCAATATTTTTACTCACACTCTTACCATAAGTGTCACATGGCTCATTATTAACTGTCAGGGAAACGTATTTATCTTCTCAGATACTGAGTGCATGTGAAGGTAGAACAAGTGTCAGCAGATGAATTGGTTTCATAAGTGAACTACAGAAACCATTTTCCCTTCCCGATCACGATTACTATATCTGGACTTAATTGTGTATCGGCCGACACTGAGTACCGATCCAATGGCATTATAAAAAGTATTCTAACAGCTGTGTGCTACTGACCCTGTATGGAAGCGATGGTTGCTGTAACCAAAGTCTACTTTACGGTGCATGTCTACACTTCAGGAAATCACTTGTTCTTTGCCGCTCTACATGCAGCACTTGCTGGTGGCAGTGCAGCGCAACTGCAGTTTTGGAAATCCAATCTGTCTTAGTGAAAATGCTTATTTTTGTCAGTAACTGAGGCATTTTTCTGACGCTGATATTGAAACTTCTCTAAATGAAGTTATGATAGAACCCCTCAAATGTATTTATTTATAGAAATATTTAACAGAAGCTTTGCCCTTATCCAGAGGTCGTCTGCTGCCAAGGACGCAGTCTACACGCTGCTCACGAAGCCTAATCCGAAATGAGATGTTCTGTTCTTTGGAGGATTTGATTGACATTTAGGTCTCGTCATTTGCTGCCATAAACTATTTTCATAAACCAACTCATCACTGGCACACAATCCACACTGTCCTGGGATAGGTTGGCTTTACAAGGATCCCCCATGTTGCTTAGGGATAGAAGGAGTCATTTGTCTGCTGCATTTGAAGCAGCCTTCAAAATGAGACAGGCTATTTACGCCGCTATGGCGCAATATGTCTTCATATGCAGCCTCGGAAGGACAGGACTTCTGACATAGACAAAATAAAACCATGCTTCAAATACACCACAGTCTATTTTTAATATGTAGTCCCTGGACAGATGCTAAAACAAATAGAAGTTGAAATTTAAAGTTAAAGTTTATTTCTACGTCTATGGAGAGAGAAAAAAATGTAATATCAAGGTTAGTAAAAAATATCATATCATTGTCAGGGATTGATTAAAGCTTGGAAGTATTAGTTTGTACAATGCATTCAAGAATAAGATAAGATATTGGCGTTAACTACGACAAACTGTAAACAAAACAGCTGAGGTCTTGTCATTGAGGCCCAGTGTTTTCCTGACATAGGGAAATATTTACCATAATCCTATGTATTTCTTAGACAGGTGGAGAGATATGTCATTTGTTTTACAACATAAACAACTTTTACTCTAATTTATGTCAGACCTGTAACTTTGACTGGACACAACAACCCACAGAGCTGAACGTGAACAAACCCACTGTCACTGCTCAGAAACCAGCTCACATCTTACTGTTATCCGGCTGCTTCCCTTTCAGTTCCTCCACTCAACGAAAAAAAAATCCTCTTTTTCTTTTCCTCCCCCGGCGCCAAACTTCAGCACATTTTCACGACAAGCAGCGGAGACTTGTTTTCTCGCCTCTATAGGAGGACGGGGATCAGGCCTGGACGGCTTAATGTGGTGTTCAGCTCCTGAGAAAGACTTATATTGATACTATAGCAGGGATTAGGTGCGAGTGATACCTGTGATCGGAGCAGAATGTTTTAATTTAAAGCCTCAGTGCTCCCCCAGTAGTTTCTTCTGCCTTTATTACCACAGTGAATGGATTTTTTTAAATTGATTTTTTAAGGAAGAGCCTTGGGTCCTTGTGGAAATGATTCTATCTCATTTTGTAATTTGCATGCATTGAATAAATGAAGTTGCTCCAACAGTTTTTCCTTCGGTGCCATGGTTAACATGTGAGCGCCGCTGCTGTTATTCATAGTTTATTTCTGGCGCTCTGATGTGTCCCTGGTTTCTCCCTGGGGTCCCGTGAATGTTTTGAATTCTGCCAGTAATTGCTGCCTGCTCGTTAGAGTGTGATTCTTTTTTTAAATGACTAATCGTTTCTCTCTTTGAATTTAACAGGTGAAGAAGATTAACAGGAATTTTCCAGTTAACCAGCAGGTAAGTTTGTTTTCTTCATGCAGCGGCAGAAGCTCCTGCTGCTTGTTTAGATTTTCTTTGGCTGATTTTAATTTGGGGCGGCACGGTGCTGTAGCGGTTAGCGCCGTCGCCTCAGAGAAAAAAGGTTCCAGGGCCTTTTCTGTGTGGAGTTTGCATGTTCTCTCCGTCTGTGTCGGTACTGCAGCTTCCTCCCACAGTCTGATACACGCAGATTGAGGTCAGGCTGTTGAGCATAGGTGTGAAACTGAATGTGAATAGTTGTGAATGTCAGCTGGGATTGGCTCCAGCTCCGCCTGCTACCTTCACAAATGGCTCTATATGGATAGAAAATGTCCTGAGTTACTTTTACCAAATTAAAAATGACTTATTGACACAACAGTGCAAACCCACTCTTGAGAAATTTGCATTTGTGGAGAGATTATTGAAAAGATACATATCCTGTGGTTTGAAATGCCAACATGAGGGATACAGGACTTAAGGATGATATATCTACATGCATCTCAGTAGATGGAGTAGTGGCCCTACGATACGCTAGCTTCCTGTCCAGACCCCGCCTCTCATCCATGTCTGCTGGGATTGGCTCAGCTCCTCTCCCCTGACCCTCAAAAGGACAAGCGTCATAGATAATGGACGGATGGATTTTAATTTGTGTATTTTACCCACATATTCAAAAATCAGAGAAAAATGTAATCAGGTCAGTCAGTCAGAGAAAGGAGACAGCTCACTCTTGCAACACAGAGAGAGTGTTTGCATCATTAAAGTCAATCCAGGGAGAGATGATCAGAAAACGACTAAAGTGCCTTCAGTCAGTTAACTCTCAGTGTCATCTCTCAGTTCAAACACTGGACGCAGACGCAACAGTGGGATTCTTTTCTTTTCTTTCTTTTTTTTTGTTACTTATTCATTCTGGTTTCTGCGTCTGAGAAAAAAAAAAACAGTGCGAATCCACTTGACAATTCATTTGAGAAATTAAGCTGCATGAGATGCGACTGCTTGTCCCAAATCTTTCACTGGCTTGTTTTGCAAATCCATCAAAAACCTCAAAACAGAGAAGCAAGCAAACACTTTACATGGGCTGATATCACCCTGACTTTAATGAGTAGTGATGGTGTGAAACACTTGATGTCTTAAAAAATCATGTCTTTGAACATTCGCAGCAGAGGCTTTGCTTTCTTTCTCTTTATCTCCCTGTTGGTCTAACCTCTTTTCTTTTCCTGAAAACTTTATATCTTTTCTCTACATGTGAGTCTTGCCGATGGGATGATATGCACACGCTACATGCTTATGAATTCCTCTGCCCTTGACTTAGCTTCCCACAACCCCCTGCTCTATACATTAATAAACTGTTGCAACTGCATTAGTGTTTACAACAGAAGGCGTAATTGAAACAGATGAGTCTTTGATAACAGCCGTAATCGTATTTAATGATCCATCATAACACACATAAGTGAATCCTTACTGTGTGTTATAAAACTTCATTAACTATTTAAATACACAGGGGGTTAAAATTATGTCTATGTATGTATGTTCCTAATTATATAAATATGTACAAACTTCAGGAAGACAATGTGGAGAGTGCAAAGTTTATTATTGACCGCAGGAAACATCTTTAACTCAAGGTCCCACAGGAAATAAATATTAAATACAAATACATGAATGTAAGAAACATACTTTTAAATCCTCTTAAATCTACATTATTGTATGTTATTGTCGTCTGTTAACGGCATATATAAGCTTTTAAATTCTAAGTTAGTCAAAAGTATTACAGATTTTTCTGCTGTCAGATATTTTTCCTTACTCTTAACTTTGTTGTAGTATTTGGAGTTTGCATGTTCTCCCAGTGTGTGCATGGGTTTTTGTCCAGCTTCCTCCCACAGTCCGAAGACAGGTTGACTGGTTACGTCAATCTGAGAGTCACAATTGTCATGTGAATGTGATCCATGTCATAATGCGTGTGTGATGTCCGTCCCTGCTTTTGATAGATTATCTACATGGGCTGGGTCGACGAGAAGGAGCAGGACTCCGTTCAAGACCGAATGTACTCACCAAAGTTCCTCGCGTTGAGGGGTTCCTCACTCTTCAAGTTTTCAGCCCCTCCCGTGAGTTATTGTTTGTCTCATACCAACTTCTCCAAAAACACAAAACTTCTGTGTTTGAATTGATGCTGCTCAGCTCCGCAGGGGATTTTTCATTTGATGTTTATGTATTGTTGAGGGAGAAAATGTTTCCCCCGCTGGAGAGAAAAAAGGAAGCAGCTCAGTCATAATCATTTGTGCTGCATTGATCCTCCTCTTGATTGATGATGATCATTAAGTCTGTTTACATTCTGCCAGCCACTTAAGTGATTATGACAAGAGGGATAAGCTGTCGATGGAACTGGAGATGGGAAAAGATTGATAGATAACTGAAATTGCCTGTTCATCTTGAATGTGCTGATATGAATAGAGTATGCTAATGTGATTGGAAGGTAGAATATCGGAGCCTGCTTGTTTAGATGTTGAGACATTTATTGTAGAAGACAAGTTCATTTTCCACCCACAGATAGTGACTGACATATAGACAATAGCTTAGTATTATATTTGTAGGAAGAGTAAATACTCAGCATATAGATTTGTATTATTTTTACGAAAAAACTAAATTAACAAAAGCAGAAGTATAACTTGTTTAAAGCTGTGTGTGTGTTTGTTATTAGCATGCCAAGCTAATTAGCTTAACAACTACAATCAGGCCTGTATCACCTTACTATATTATATAACTTTAAAAAGCTGTTACCCATAATGTTTGAAAAGTTCTTTGACTGGATGTGTTGCACGGGCAGGGGTGGGGGGGTTATGTCTCAGCAAACAGTCAACTGTATTTTCATGTAAAAGTGAATCTTCAGATCAAATATAACATTTCTGTGACATTTTCAGGTGACGACGTGGGACTGGACCAGAGCGGAGAAAAGCTTTACTGTGTACGAGATAATGTGCAAGATTTTAAAGGTAAAACCATCTTTTTTTAATTTCAATCCTTGAATATTTAGAGAATAAAATCAGGGTCTGACGGCAGCACTGTATAAAACTCATTATTTATGTTATTGAATCCTGCACGTTTAAGTTTCACTTGTTTTGTTCATTCTCTGCTGATTGTGGACAATTTATCTGCAATTCATTATCCACAAACTCATTATACGTCATTTAATTCATATAGACTAAGATATAATTTGACCAACGCTACCATTTGTATTCCACTGTGGGTGTTATATATAACACTGAGAGACTGGAAACAGCTATAGAATAAAACTGCTGGCTTAAATAACATATTACCTTAACGTGAGTGTTGAATGTATAGAGCATAAGAATTGAAGTGCTCTCTAAGGTGCAGTCTGTCTTCAAAGTGAAATTAGCTGCGTGTTGCTCGGGGTGTCTGCACATCACTCTGTACCTGATCAGCATGACAGTCGTACTGTCTTATCTCAGGATAACGACCTCCTGGACAAGAGGAAGCACGTCTTCAGCGTCCAGACGGAGAGCGGGGAGGACATGTTCTTCAGCGTGGAGCTGGAGTGCGAGCTGCTGATCTGGGAAAAGGCTTTTCAGATGGCCACCTTCCTGGAGGTGGAGAGGATACAGGTCGGCACCTGAGCAGTCGGCAACGTGAAGGGAATCATAACAGCTTTAATCTCGCTTTGGGTTACAGCTCAGTTGTTTTAGTGCAAAGATTGATAATACTCATATAATGTTTTGAGCTGAACAAAAGAGACTTGAGTGTCCTTGTGGGTAACATCTTGTTCTCTCCTTCTGTAGAGTAAAACATATGCCTGTATCATGGAGAGCCACCTCATGGGTCTTTCTATTGACTTCAGCATGGGCTTTGTGTGCTTTGATGCAGCCTCAAAGGTGAGTGTAAGACATCCTTTTATTAGAAATAAAAACAGTAGCGGGGGGAACGAGATCCTTTCAGTGGGAGGTTGTTCTCGGTGTGATGAAACAAGCCACGACGCCTCAGCTTCCTCTTTTTTTGCTGCTGCTAACTTATTCTGCTCTGTGTGCATTTTGAGAGCACATTTGTTTGTTATGACGTCTGCTTCCCTCCAGCTCAAACCTCCACTTCTGCCTGCAGTTCATTCTGGCCTTTCCCCAAATCTGGAGACGACTCCTCTGGTGCACATTATGTGCCTGAGCAGGACACAAGCGCTGCCATATTGTTCTCCAAGACTTTGGCCCCAATTCCTCCAATGAGAAGCAACTATGTCCCCCAAAGACAATAATAATGTTGCCAGTGTATTGTTTACAGAGTGAAATACACAAAACACAATCCATATGTAAACTATTATCTCTGACAGTATACAGCGTGGGATTACTCCATAATTAAAGCTGCCATTGGCACATTTCAAAACCCATGTTCCAATTAGTTCTGATCGAAAAACAGCACAAATATAACTGTGTTCAAAACGTTGAGCTGTAATCTGCTGGCTCGGGATCTAGATGTTCCACAGCTCTCTCAACAAAAGCTGTTTAAAGCACAATGAAAATGAATCTTAATTGGAGCGCGTAACGCAAACAAAACAAGGCTGACACCACAGAAATATTCAGAATGTATAAAACTTTGTGAGTATAAGTGTGAGTGCAGGGATAAGCTCCAGCCCTCTGAGAATTGATAAAGCACTTAGCACTGTTAAATTGAATTAATGAAATGTGAATATAACGAACACGTTTGTTTTAGGAGCGATGATTGTGTGTAGAGCAAGTGAGCTCTGAAGGTTCAACTCTGACGCTCAACTGTTGAATTAACGAGCTAAACTGTACGAAAATGAAACATGAGGGAAACAGTGCGCAATGAAGGTTAATCTGAATTTGACAACAGCCTGCATTTAAAAAGTCATCAAATAGTCTGGCTGTTAAACATAAATGCACCAAAGGACTAAAATGTACAAAACACCAGAGGAAGGCTGCGAGGAAAGATTAGTTTGATTAATTTCAAGTATTAAGATTTGTCCAAAGAATCCACTCATATGTCTATATTTACTTTAATTGGTGCAAGTATAAATGTTAATTTAACCAAACACACTGGGAAAAAAAGACAAAAGCAAAAAATACCACATAACTGTGTCTTGTATTAAGATATTATTTTAACTCAATCTGATTTTGTGTAATTAATAGCATAAAATAGCATCCAGTTTAAAATCAATCAGTACTTGAACTGCAAAACGACACAAATAAAACTGAGCAAGACTCACAGGGATGTTTTCGTACCAGGAAGTAGAGTCACATATAATCCTCCATGTGGGACGTGAAGCAGCTTTAATATGAAGTGGTTGTGACTGACATGAGGGAGATGGAGATATCATCACCTCTGTCAGACGACTAGAGGAGAGGACACTCTGCCGGTTTCAATCTGATAATGTTTCATGAATATGTGACCTGATTTTTAATGATTATTTTCAAGGTTAAAACGTGTCACTGTCATTATTCATTTATTCAGATCATTTCGTAGTAATGTAGATTTAAAAGTCAAAAAACGCTCTGGGAAAAAACCCCATTAGTGTAACTCATGGATTCAAAACTTTATTTACATGTATCGGCAAAGAAAGTGACTAAATTAAAATAAAGTATTGATTATGTATAAAATTATCCCTGTCAATGTTTAATTATTTGGATCAGTAGAGTAACTAGTAATAATAGTAATTCACAGTGATACTATCTGCAATTATAATTATTAGTGCAGTCATTTATTGAATATTACTTCTGTGGTTATATATATATATTAAACTATATATACTATTCACTTATTCCACAGCAATGCATCATGTTCAATGAGATTATCATGTTTTCTTTGTTCTTGCAGAAGACTGATCTCTAAAAAAATCGAGGAACATCCTTCACTCGTCCTTCACTTTGTCAGAAAAAGTCAAAGTCAAAATCATCACATTTTGAGCTGCGTGCTTCAGAAAGGATATGAAATATTGTAACCTGAGAAAAATACCAAGGAGCTAAAACTGTCAAATCAATGCAGTGCAGCCTGAAGTACAACATTTCCCTCTACAGAGAGTAGAAAGTACCACAACGTAGAAGTACAGAACTTGAGTTAAAGTCCTGCTGATAAATTAGATGGGTGTTACAGTGATCATCACGCTGGCAGGAACTGTCTGTGCGGAAACAGATTCACGTGAGAACCGACGGTTGCTTGGCTCAGTCTGCAGCTTTTGTTTATCCACTTCAAAACTAATCAAATCATTGACAGGCTGCTATTTCAGGTGAAATTGCTCTGGCCTGTTAAATTTCCCTATGGCAAAAATAACAAGTTTATCTCACAGCAACTGATGTGCTGATGAGCTGCTTCTCTCACTGGATCCATGTGGATTCTAACATGAATTATTCATGTCGCAGTGACACAAGGAGGAACACGCACATTAGACAGAAGCATATAAAGATATATATTTGTATTTTTCATGTTTACAGTTAAAAAAAAACCCCCGTCATCTATTTCGTTATTTTAGGCCGTACTGTGGAGATACAAATTCTCCCAACTGAAAGGATCATCTGATGACGGAAAGAGCAAGATCAAGTTTTTATTCCAAAATCAAGACTCCAAATCCATTGAGGCAAAGGTAATTCACTCTGAGAGACGCTGAGTTTCAAAGCAACAAGGCCACAGAGAACGCCATGAGTGTACTGTGGATGTTTTTTCTCTCTTTCAGGAGCTGGAGTTCTCGAACCTCTTCGCCGTGCTTCATTGTATTCACGCTTTTTTCGCTGCCAAGGTTGCTTGCCTGGACCCGATGTTCGTGGAGAGCCAAGGCAGCGCGACCACCCCGGGAATTCCTTCTCTCTCCAGTATCTCTTGTAATTCACAGACACCGAAACTCAAATACGCCACTTGACAGGCGCTGCTCCCTGAAACACGCCTTTCATAAAAAGACGCTGCACTTTGGTGTGACTGTGGCCTAAACAGGTGGGGAAAGATATTAGAGGTGGAGAGAAAGAGAAGTTGATATTACATTATGGAGGACAGCTGTAACGGAGGAATAAAAGAGGCTCTTAGGGATGGATACACTCGATATTTCTGAAAGAGCATCGGATTTTGGGGATTTCTTGAGTCGTTGTTGGATCTGAAGACAAACCTCTACTATCACGGAAACACTCTATGAACACGACACGTTTTTTAAAGTGAATTAGTCCTTCTCTTGATCCTCAGACGTCCTTATAATCCACACAACACAAAGAAAATGTTAGTTCTTTCCCCATGTGTTCCTGCTGTATGTAGTTTTACTGAATTTGGGGTTTAACAAAATCTGCCTTTTTCCCCCCACATCAGATACACTTGAAGTTTTTGAGGTGAAATCTGTCGTGATTCAGTTCAAAAGCAAAATAGAAGTGGAAAAAGTCAAAACTCAGCATTTAAATTTTGATTGAATTCATCACATGTTAGTTTTCTGGCTGCTTTAATGGAAGAATTGACTGGTTTCAGATCAGCGTGTGTACAAACACTCTCCATAACCTCGATTCATGACATAGACCTGTGTCTGAGGTCAGAGCGTACCGAGAATCCTGGACAGACGAAAGTGTTGTTTTTATCGTGTGGGTTAGAAATGACAATTTGATAATCAGGTTCACCATCCACTTGACCATAATCTGACACGACCCGCTTTAAACATGATTAGAAACACCTTTCATAATCCTTTTATCATTACTTCCCCCTAAAGCTTGATTATGTAAATAAACACTGACTTTCAAATGAACTCAGAGAATTATGAATTATGGGGAACTACTCGTGGGGATTACTGCATTTGTTGATTTGACGTGCACCAGAGACGACTAGGTACGATACTGCATAACCTCGTACTCCCGTCATCTCTTACTCTATGGACCAATTTAAGAGAATAAAGATCAGCGAGGGTGTATTTTTGGAATATTTTATCTTTTTTGACTTCAGCTTGTAAATATGATAAAGAGAAGAAAATAAAAACTTCTGGAGAAAAAGACGCCGAGAGGGAAAACAGGAGAATTGTAGCAGAGGTTTGCGACGGCCCTTTAAACTTCACTCTGTGCTGTTTTGTTTATAAATGCTGCAGAGTCACAACTAAACGATCACGTTCGACGAGAGAGCTCGGGCGCAATTAGTCACGCTCTTACCTTCCATTTACAAAGTAGGATTCGAGCAGAGGAGGCCCGTGGGTCAGTAAACTCTGGGGGATAGCAAATTAAATGGGGTCAGTTAAGAGCCCGGCGCCGCGCGGGCTTGTTAAGCTGACGTGTGAGTGTGTGCACGAGGGAAACTAATGGCGGTGCAGTCTATGCAAAGAAAGTCCGAGTGATGCTTCTGTGCTTTAAAAATAATCTCGGTCGCATTTACCCTTATAACACAGGATCCTAGAGGGAGGTTTATTTTATTTTTTGCAGATGTTTTATTAACAAATATTCTGTGTCAGAAATGAATAAATGAGACGTTTTATAACACGACCCACGTGCGGTTGGTTTTATTTCTCACCGTGTCGGGATTATTCCACCAGGAGGAGTCGAATCGCAGTTTCACCTGTTGAAATATTAGCTTGAGTTGATGAGTCTAGTGAGTTTTGATGTTCTCAGGGTTTTAATAAACACGCTGCCCATTTACTTTAGTGTATAAGTACTACAACTCAAACACACTCGACTGTACTTAAAGGGATGGTTCACTGAAAAATGAAAGTTCACTCATTATCTACTCACCACTAGGCGGATGGAGGTTTGGGTGAAGTGTTGTGACAGCGTTGCAGCCAAATTAACCCTTTCTTCAGACGTAATAAAACAACATAACGTGTCGTTTCAAGGGAATAATTAATGGATCTCCATGTGGTGCTTTTAAAGATAAAAGTGAATAAAATAAAGCTACTTGGAAACAGAATGTTAAGTGAATTTTTAACTAATATAGATTCGTAACTGTTTTTATTGTAGATAAAAGCCTGATTATGGTTTCTGGTTAATTTCTGTGTGTGTTTACATTGCATAAAGTTCCCAGAGGTTTAATTGAGGTTTCTTGATTGATTACACTCAGTGTTTAAAACGCTGCTTCCAAATTAACCCGAGATCATAAAAAAGAAGATTGACACTGATGAGTTTTGTGGCTGCGTCGTCCCAGCTTTGAATCTGAGACCTTCATCTCATAATCCCTCTTTGCTGTGATGTGTGAGGTAAAAGCAGCAGCCACACAAGCTCGATTCCTGCAGATACCACTTCACCACTCTATTAACGTTTTAACTGCCTGCCCACGTCCGACGGAAACTCAGGGAAGAAAACAATCGACTTAAACAGACAGAAAAAAAAGCGCAGTTACAATGATTAGAAGAGGCATAATGTGACTGTGACCTTTATTTTTGTGCCAAACATTTACGGAGAAACAACACATTTTCAAAATGAACTGCAAACACTATGACAAAAAAAATCAGCCTGATTAAAAAAAAAAAAAAAGAAAGTAACAGATCAGTTTTGGCTCTTAACAATTTAACGTGAAATAAGAATTGGTTGAGACGTTTCCGGGTGCTGTTTCCGTCTGTGTTACTCGAGTCGTGTGCACATTAAATGAAATCAAAGCAGTCCTATTAACTTTGGTGCAAGGCGTGACCTGAGAGTCGAGGTTGTAGGTCCCCTGCTTCCAATGCTTAATGTGCTCTCTAATTAGCAATTAAATTTCAGATAATGGTATATTATCTGTTGCATGCCTGTAATTATTGTGATATACTGATATTGTGCAAATCAAATGGGACTACGTTGTTAATTGTAATTAAAAGCTGATAAATGATTCCATTATTGCTTAATCGCAAAAGCTTTCCACTGAAGAAATTTTTTTTTTAAAAACACAATTTAAAATTTTTACAGAAAATAAATGTTACCTCTTCACACACAAAAACTAAAAGAATAATCAGCCCAGTTTAAAACAATTTTTTTTTTTTCATTACACCCAAAAAAAATGAAGATCTATTTCACAAATATATCTCACCTATTAAAACAGCAGTGGAGTTTTTGATTTACAGAGTTCCCAGTGTCAAGATACAGTACAGCAAGAGGGTGCTACAAAAAAAATGCCAATCGAACTGTAGGCAGAATCATAAGAGAACAATACATATATCACCTTTATATTGAAGAGAAGTAATATCAACAACATTCAACTCAGCTTTTGGAAAGTACTAAAATGATGCATTCAAAATAAGATGAATATTTTCCAAGTCTGCGTTGGTAAAGCATGAAGACAAAGTGTGACATCTATCGATGTGCTGTTTTCTTTTTCACCGCGGAATGTTTTAGTAGAAATATAGCATCATCCAATGCACTGTGCCAGGGAACTTACAGAAATCCCTAATGTGATGGGTGTGTTGGCACTTAAAAGCCATCACTATCAGCGACGCTCTGCAAGAAAGTTGTACTTTTATTTAACAGGATTTACGTGACGGTTATTTCAGTCCATATTACAGATGAAGCCAAAAAAAAAATACACGGCAGCTTGTTTGTTCACTGGAGGACTGCAGGTTTAAGGTGCTTTGCTGGACACGTGCGTCTCAAGTCCAGGACACGAAAGGCTTCAAAATTCTCCATGATTCTGATTTTGCATTGGTGTCGATTATAAAAACGCGTTTGTCTCAAGGCCGCCTAATCGATAAATAATCTTTGAATATTTTTCTCGACCACTAGGGGACATCACCTCCAGTGAGCGATCGATAAATGTGAAGCAAAGTCAGGAACAGACATAGACACTATATTCATGCATGTGATCATCACCGACAACTCCCCGTCACCAGCTCTCTTTACAAAAAGTGTGAAGTATTAAACACCCGTCATACATTTATTTTTTCACCATTTCAAACCTCTGATGTGATTAATGAGACTAATATATTATTTGCATTAATAATAGAAAGAAAACCACGGAGAGGAGAGGGGCCCACAACACCTCATGTCAAGTAGGATGTTACTCATATTCAAAGTGAGGAAACACAGGTCAATGTGTGTGAGCACCTTGTTCAAAACGTTCCATCAAAAGGTACGTGTAGAAAACTATGAGCCGATCTGGTCTCTTGATGCTCGACTGTAAAAGGAAGGTAGAAAACCACTGTGACCTAAAACAAATCATCCAGAGGAGTAATGACATAAGTGCCCCAGTCATGATGATGTAAGAGCGTCTGACTCTTCGAACTCAAAACGGGAGGATGTGGCCTTATTTGACTTTCAGCGTCTTTCGTTCCTTTCAGCGTCGTTTCGTTGCCGGACACAGAGTAAGTTAAAGCTTCTAAAAAAGGTGCAATAAAAGTCTTATTCTTTAACATGATCATATTTAAACAAATATAGTAAGAATTTTTTTTATACATTTTTTTTTGATCTGCACACTTCTGCAGAAATCCTGACATTGTGATAAATCTGAATCTCACAATGGGTTTCGGAAAAAAACTATGTCCATTGAGTTTCATCTTACAATTTTTTTTTTTTTGATATACAAATCAACAGAAAATGTCAACAAAAACAATTATAACATTATTATCCAATATTCTCTATGACGTCTCTTTCATTCACAGTTTTGTCATCAAGATTTTATGGAAATAATGCTACATTTGTACTGAGATGGGTGAAGAACAGCGTTTCATCAGGAGCTGCACCCATTACCAACAGATACCGGGGGAATCAGTCATTTCTCTCTGTAGTACAGCAAATACGCTTTCAGTGACTCAGGCAGCGGCAACGCCATTATTTGGTCTCTCAACATGTTCACTTGCTTGAGAATTTCAATTTCGCCAATGTCTCTCTCCTCCTCCTCCTCCACCTCCTTGTGTTCTTCCTCGGCGTGCTCCTCCTCCTCGCTCTCCACCATTTGGGGGATCAGCTGGTTGCCCACGAAGACGTAAGTGTTGATGCGTCGCCGCCGGCAGCGCCTCCTTTTGCGCTTCTGGGGGATTCTCTGCACCAGGCCCTTCTCCTGACTGTCCTCGTTGGCCAGGTTTCTGAGGGTGCGGCGGATGTAGATCCGAGAGAGATCCTGAAGGCTGCGGACGGTCACCGGGGCTGAGGACAAATGGAGATGACACAGTCCTTCAGGGCGACACGCCACCACAACAAGAATAATCCATACAACTGTACCCTTTAAATAGGTCAGCATAAACAAGTGAGGCCGTCAAGGAAAAGTCTGTCTCAGTAACTCAAGGAAGGGAAATAAGTGGCACTATGAAGCAGCTGCGGGACAAGATTCATATGTCTGAGCAAATATTGCTTGAGGAACAGTCTCGTCACATTACTTTAAATGAACTGTCTGACTTCCTGCTTTACACTTCAAGACGGGTTAGACATAATAAAACATGAGGACTCAAGGATTTTTCTTCTTGTGTGGAGTCTGGGGAAACTTACGCAGCTGAACAGCGTCAGGCTTCTCTCCGTCAGCTCTACTCTGCTGGACCAAGGGGGCAAAGGACACTGCCAAGATGTTATTGCTCTCCCATGTGCACTGACCAGTCCTGGTTATCGCGGTCAGCTGCATACAGACACAAAACCTGAACTCAACACTTAACACTTATAAAATATGAACCACTGTAATAAATCAGGGAACAAGGGCTAAAGGCCGAACCCACCTTCTAGTTTTCTTCTATATGTAGTTTTTATAATGTGCTGGTGATAGTTCTGTGGATCTGTCGTTTATTTATTTACTTGAATACTTCAAAACTCATCTTATGAGGATTCATGTCTATTTTTGATTCAAAGCCAAAAGTAGAAATGATCTCTGTATAGATTCAGTATTTACTTGGTAAATAACATTCACACACACACACACACAAAGGTGTTATCCAGATTGCAGGTGATCATTACAGGTGGCAGATGTAAACACTCTGTGTGTAACCAGAGAAATATATAAACCATGTCCCTGGAGAAGACGTGTAACTTTCTTTACATTTGCATATATGCTGCCAGATCAAACTCTATTTTTGTATTTGCTTTGTGAGCAGCCACGGTGCCATTAAAGATAAAGACAACATCTTTGTGTGAATTTATATTGTGATATTATTTATGGTAATATGTTTTTATATTTAATGGAGAACAAATCGGTTGATGAATAGATTAAACCTGACAGAAATATTATTTTTTGTCTTATCTGACTCATCAACATATTTTATCCCACTAATTTAAAAAATCAAACAAAATATAATGAGTTTGTTTTTTCCAGATGAAGATGAATTTGTCAAGAAAGACAGCAAAACAACCCACAGCCTGTCACACACTGTCCAAAACAGACAGCACCAGAAGCCATCACCAGCATCTATGAAATACCAGAACTATATTATTTATATTTATCTGATGAGCTGAAACTTTTGCCATGTTTTAAAGTTAAATAAATTCTCCTCAGCTGATTGTAACACTGGTCACTCTGAATTAGTACAGCCAGGGACAACACAAACAAATAAACAGGGTTATTTTATCAATCAATTGATCAATATTTTGTCCAAAGACACATTTCAAATAGTATTTTTGATTAAATCTCATAGATTGGGCGCACTGACAGAAGGTATCCACAGAGAGCCCGTTTTGTTTTTTGTCATTTAAGGGCGTCTAACAGCATAACTATGTCGACGTAGTATAAAAACAAAGCTACATCCTGTCATTTGTTATGTTGACAAATCAGTGGAAAAAGAAGGAGTTTGATGAAGTTTCCCAAAGAACGAGGAACCTTTGCAGAAACTCTGTGCTTTTTCACCCGAAGGGCCAAGATTTTAATTAAGTTCCAAAAATAACTTTTTACCCCCCAAAATAGCCCCTGCTCAGGGCAGCATGTTACAATATACAGGAACCTTTGGGGTTGAGTTTGCAGCACTGAAGCTCGGTCCAGTATTTCTGCGTTTTATCTACGTAATAGATTTGAGTGAATATATATTGCGACTCATTTCTTTCCCAATCAAAAGCTGCACAATTTGAATCTCTGTTCACTGTTGTTGTTTTGTCACTCGTCATTGGGGTTGTATAATTTTCTGTATATGCGATATCTGGTTGTCGTGGCTCATCTCCTCCAGGTCTGCAGACTGCAGCTGAAACAAATCTTAGTTCCTGGGACTTTAAGTTTTAGGAACCTTTGGTTGAAAAGGATCTAAAGAGAAGGATGATTTTCTGAAATGATTCACATTGCTGTTAAAGAGCCCTGATCCTAATCATGTTAAATTATTCCGTCCAACATGATTCAGAAGTGTCCCAGTTTTTTTCATTCTGAGTACCTTTTACCTTCTAAAAAAAAATTGTTATAACATCCAGTTGGTGTCTTTTAAGATCACTGGTACCTGAACTCACTTCAGAATGTACTGAAGTGAACTTTTGCTCACAGTATCTAACCTAAGCCAGGGTTTGTTTGTTTTTTTCCTTTTAATACATTCAATTGCCCTGAGTCCTTGGCCACAAGTCTGTCGAGATCTCTACCCTCCTTCCTACAAAAGGTTCCTGCTGAACATTTTCTCCACCAACTTTTAAAAAATATCCCGACTGACCTCTTACATGCTCTGTCCACACTCGACCCATCCACCATTTTAAATAAAACATTATTGTGTGAGCTCCTTACACCGCTGCTCAAATCCAGGGGCAGTTGTGGCTCAATAATGCATGTGAAAGTTGCATAAGCAGTCTTGTAGGTCAAAGCTATTTTACCTTGCGTTCCCCCATGTGCTGGCACTTTGTGATGTGCTAATCCTGTGTTATACCAGTGGCTCATTGCACTTACCTGATCCTCTATAGGCATCACCAGAATTCCTCCAATTTTGAGCAGCACTTTCATGTAATTTTCATGGTCCTTCTGAACCCCGGCGCCGCAGTAAATGCGGTCGTATTGATGACTGTCTGTGGAGATTTCAAGGCAATTCCCCACCACAAAGACGGGTTCGCAAAACTCAAACCTGTAAAAAATAACACGCAGTGAATAAAATACAATAAACAAACATGAACACAACCATGAAATCATCACATATGTGGTTTGAATACATTTACTTGTTAAAGAAAAAAATATGAAATTTGGGGAAATATGCTAATTTATCTTCTTGCTGAGGGTTGGATCAGAAGACGTGTGTGTGGCTCCAGCCAGCAGCTGTTTAGCTTAGCATTGAGAGTAGACACAGGGGAAAACTGCAAACCTGACTCTGTCTGAAGGTTAAAAAATCTGCTAACAAGCTCATTAATTAACATCCTGCTTATTGGTACGGTTCAAAAACTGAAGTGTTAAAGACTGAATTTGGAAACACAGGGTCGGGCCAGTCAGATATCATCTAACTCTTAGCAAGACAATAAGCAAACATAATCCCCAACATTTCAAATCATTCTTTAAAAACAACTGGATGAATTCAGACCATAAGATCTAGTGAGGACCCTTTTTTCTTTTGATTATCCGTCTTTTCATCTAACTCTCAATAGAGTGTATTTTCCCGAAAGATGTACTCACTTATCAAAGCTGTCACTATTCTTTATGAAATCCTCAAGTTTCTCTCTGGCATATTCAACCACGTCCTTGTGGAGCTCAACTCCATGGTTCACACCAAATGGCCCTTAAAAAAACAGGAAACATAAAATTCTAAGTAATATTGTGGCACAGCATTATCACCTACCTGTTACGGTGTCATGTAGAGCGGAGACACTTCAACTTCAACTACTTTTTTTTACAAGTAATTTGAATTGAAGAAATGCTGAACATTATCTGATTCCAGATCCTCTTGTGCTTTAGGAAATTATGATTGGTATGATTAACTATATCCATTTAATTTTTTCCAAAGAATTTCATCCATCATGAAAATAACTACTGCTTCCCTACTGTGTTATTGATGCAGGATGTGTAGTCACACGCTGTACTTTCCCAGCTGAATGTGCTATCTAGGTAATACAGTGCATCTGAGCAGTTCCCACACATGATAAATATGTACTCTATGCTTACCTATGATAAGACCAACCATTGTGCTTAAGTAGCCGGTTCCACTGCCCAGATTGAGGAAAGAAAGTCCTGGCTGCAGTTTGAGGGCCTCCATCACCTCCGAGTATATACACGGAGCAGACAGGTGTATGTTGCCATGTTTCCACGCTAAGTCTTTGTAGGCACTGTCCCGGTAGCCGTCCAGATAGTAGTCACCGCGGTCTATGGCCCGAAAAGCCTGCTCGACTTTTTCTGTGCGAATATACTGAGCTTCCTTCAGATTGTCAATGAGGTCATCATTGTCCTCGCCGGCGCTCACGGCTCCCCCCATGGTGGAAACAGCAGAGGAACAAGAGTCGTACTCAGGATGAGTGGTTCCTCCTCACAGAGGCATGGAGATGAACGACTGGCTGAGGGATCGTTCCGCTTTGACTCCTCCTGGAAGCGTCCGTTCAGACGACACGCATGTCCAGGCAGAGCGTGACCTGGGAGACACAATATAAGCATGTTATAGCGATCTAACTGTAGCGTACAGATTCAATATGCTGATAATAGTAAAGATTTATTAATATTCTCCCATAACTGGGGTTGTTTTATGATGAAGAATTATCGACTGAGAGAAACAGCCTGAATAATCAGTGACATATTCTGCTACAGTTGTGTTCTCCCTAATTAATTCCCCTCAGGAAAAAACGTAGGCGATTTGTGTCTTGAAAAGCATTTGCAGATGAAACAATTTAGCTGTATTTTTGTAAATGTCGACTACACACAATGAATTCATGAAACTGTAATGTTTGACAACAGGCCAATAATAAACACTAAAGAATTTCCACTTAACTGCCGTGGATCATTAATATGCTTCCTACAATGAAAATATTTGTTGTGAAAAAACCTTACTTGACATGTTGCAGTCTATTTAAACGTGCAGCACAATGTAAGGTGCTGGAAATGCTATGTTTTTTACAGATATGTACATTTTGATGTGATTTTTCAACTTTTTAAGACTTTCCAGCTCCTCAAATGTAAATATTTGATGTTTTTGTTAATAGTGACTGAATATTTTTACACCGTCGTCTTTTGAAAACAATCTGAAGAGGTCACCCTGGGTCCTGTGAAATCGTGATGAAGTTTTTCTAATAATTTTATGTCGTTTAGTTTTTTAAAAAAAGCTCATAAATATATAGTAAACATAATGAAATCAATAATACTTCGCTGGAGCTCTAATATTTTATCAACAGCTCAATTTCACCGCCTGCTTCAAACTCTTTCACAACCAAAGCCTGGTGTAAGTCTGTCTGACAATAGCATTGATATATATTGTGATATTATAACTGTAAGAACTGTTGATGGATAAAATGACTGAAGGTCAAAACTCAAGCTACACTAGCAGTAAATAGAACTTATTGTTAGACTGACGCACTTTTAGAGGGTCATTAAATAACCAGACAGGAATGACTCAGTGTGTGAGTTAAATACCTGATCATGAAGGTTCGTCATTAAGGTGGTGTAAAAAAAAAAGAAACACATAAAATCCCACATTACCAAAGGTCACTCACAGATTAACACCATCCATAATGGCCTAATACACGTTGAGCTACGATGGCAAATACTCTGCACATTTATATTGTCTCACAGTATATGGTGCTAGTTCATTAGGTACCTTTGGGTTGTAATGTTCATTTTTTAACTATTTAGACTGGTGTTCCATTCCGCTGCATTTTACCAAGAGATATCTCTTTCCTCACTGATAAATATGGAGAAGAAATCCTCTCACAGACATTAAACTGACTATAATCACATTCTGATGAAGCGTTCCTGCCGAAACATGCCTCAGATTGACACATCTGTTTTCTGAAGCAGCACTCCCATCCAAGGTTCAGTGCAGGAGTGTAATGGTTTCCTCTAAACATTACAACCTTTGTGGAGGTTTGATTTATTGCACGTGTTTCAGTAACTCTATCTAATAATCTATCTTGCATGTCTTTAAAAATCATACTACACAAAGGGGCCACTGTAATAATACAGTCCTTGTGTTATACTTGTATACGATATGTCAGTGGCACCTGCACAGACCTACCTGCTACACTGAGACACAGAATCTGGGGTGAAACAAAGGGGAAATGTTCTGTTACATAACAGTGTTTTTCATTTGGCTGACTCAACTCTAATTCATGCTCTTTTCTTGTTAAGTTCTGAACACTTGTAAAAACTACAAGCGTAAAACGATTCTTTAGTTAAACTGCTGACAACTCAAGTTCAAATTTAAGCCATAACCCCATGATGATTTATTGTAATGGATCACAAACCTAAAAGCATGAGAATCATTGCTACGAGGGGATATTTGCTAAATATGAAAATGCACTATGGGAAAATATGCACAGGTGTGATGATATTCATTTAGATTATAAATAAAGTCAGATTGATATAGATGTTTTGGGGCTGACATTGTGGTTACCAAAACTGAAGAAAATCCATCTTGATCACCACCTGGTGGCTGGCCGCAGTACAGGTCATAAAGCCAAAGTAATTTTATTCTACTCAGTTATTTGATGAAATAAACAACAGGGTGAGATGCAGAGATTGACAGCTGAGACTTGGTCGAGCACAAACATTGACGGGACTTTGATACCACAGCCCCACGCAAAAATCACTGCTCTGCAGATTCTGGCTACAAGTAACGTCAAAATCACAAGATGGCGGCACATGTATCCAGCAACATTTGGCTTCATTTTTGCACACAGGCAGGAGGTTCAGATGCATCTTTATACACATTCTATCTAAATAACTATGAATAAAAAGAAAACACAAATACATCCAAATATATAGAATTAGAAAATAAACATAATCATTCACGTAAAATCTATAGTGCAGCTGGAGATGCACACAAATGAGATAAGTCTTGAATTCCCTCTCTGCCCTCTCAGCATCTCTACATCTGACTCAGCTAATAAAGATTCAATTCAGAGGTGACTTTGAAGTGGGAGGCCTGGTACGGTAATTTTCTGCTGGCTCCTCCTCACAGGCAAAAAAAAAAAGTCATTGATTCACTCACCATTGTTGATTGTACAGTGTGTGTTTTTATCCCAGTTTCTCCCTCTGCCCTCTCTGTAATGCAGAGTCCTTTGAGTTGCCTGCAGTTGAAAGAAGATCCAGGAAAATGGGTCAAGGGAGGTATTCTGTAAGCAAATTGCTTCTGGGAACTGCTGCACAGTCAGAACAATGATAATCTTGAGTCTTAAAACAGGTCATTATTCATCCAGTCCTTAAAGACAAACCAACAAAGCCCCCCCAGATAATTACATTTGTTGCAACAGTAAAGTTAGACAGAAAAAGAAATGTTAATAAACAGGAATTCGCTGGTAAACACACACAGAGGTTGTCCTGGGTTTACCCCTGGTGTGTGTGAAAAGAGCATGGACGCCATTTCAGGCCATGACCAGGCTGCTGTGACCCGATTAGGGACACCCCAGTGAACGAGGCAGGATGAAGAAACGTGTAACAGATCCTCCGGCAAACACAAGATCACCTCTCGTGCTGTAACTAAATACCAAAGGCCTGTCTAGGCAGCACCAGGACACACAGACTGCTGATCAACAGACAGAGTGCGGTCTAACTTTTGGATGTTTGAATTGCTACATGATACAACGCTGGAAACCACGAAGAATATCACCGAGCAGCTCGGACTGTGTGAATCTTCTATTTATTTTTAGCCACCCACCCTATTACCATGGCTCTAGGTGTAACATCATTCGTTAGACAGTCAGACTCTTTGGTGCTAATGAATTTGATGATTGCCTCATTTGATGTACTGAGTCCTCATCTATACCTGCAGCAGTTCTATACTTGCACCATTTAACCACTGTTTAATGGACAGATATTCCACAAACTAACCACGACCCAGTTCCCATTACATCTACTGTGCATACTCATGGAAAAGCCTAAGATAAATTTTGATCTCAGGCATGCTTTGACCTTCACTGAAGTATTATGTTAAAATGTCCAGTTTTACATAAACATAACTTTTAATCTGAACAGTGGAGCATATTTAAATGCTCCCCGGAGGAGGAATTCTTTTTCGATTCTATTTACCTTCTGACCTCCACAGCTAACCTTCTACACATAATCTCTTGAGAGCAAGTGGTCATTGTAGATACAGTAGTTAGAGCTCTCAAGAGGAAGAAACCATTTAATTGTTTTGAGCTCTGTGAATTAAGGCCATGTTTCCTCTTTTACTGCATTAAGTTTGGCGACAGGAGGACTGAAATCAATATAGAAGCGCAATGTCCTCTGAAACAACAGTAATAAGCATGTTCTGATATATACCATAAATAACATGAGCAAGAGGAACAACCTCTACTTCCATTAAACTATTGTGTAGTTACTACCTCCACCAAGGAGGCTGTTTTCACTACTGTCCATTTGTTTGTTTGTTTGTCACAAAACTTGGTGGAAGGTTGGGACACGAGCCAAGACAGAATCCATTACATTTCGGCACAGATCTGGACGAAGGAGTGGATCCAGGAATTGTTTCTGCTTTCTTTGACATTATGAGATAAGTTGTTTTTTTTACATTTTCACTGATTTCCCAAGAAATTATTCATGATAGAAGAAATCAAGTGTATTTAGGGGACTGATATTAATGAGTGTGTGCAATTTGGTGTGGCTAGATTGAATCGAAGGGGACTGTTGGACTGCTGATTGCTATTCTACTTTTATATTTGACACAGCCTCTATCTTCTGTACTAAAAAGTCAGACTGTAATTTCCCTCACAATACATTTAAACCGTCTGTTCTAACCGGTCTGACAGGAATATCTTTTAAATATGCATCAGACCCAAATCTATTTGAAAAGATCTCACCATTCCAGTTGTACAAGTTTTGGGCAATGCTAGTTGTAGTATCATATCAAAATTTAACGTTTCAATTCCACAGCTACACAAGATACAGAACTTTTGAGTCCCCATAATGAACCTTCCATTTGCATCTTTCTCAGACAAGAATATAGGACAGACTGTCATGCAAACCTCTGAACTGCTTCATGCTCAACAGTGGATAAACCCTTTTGATTTGGGAAATAATCAGGCTTTTCCTCTGGTTCCACCCTCAAGCTAGTGGAGCGTTCAGACTTAATTAAAAGTGCATTTCATCATTCTCGCATCTCTCTCTCTCTATTTATGTGACTTTGACCACTAGACTCTGTGTTAATTAGCCACAAACAGCCAAGAGATGTGAGAGTAAAAGGCATGTGTTGTGCCAGCCTGACAACAGAAACAGACACCATGTGAGTGTGTGTGTGTGTGTGTGAAACAACTCATGTTATTAAAATTTACCAGTTGTGTCTCTTATTCTCCTCTGCAGCCTCTTAATTTTGCTCCTGCTGCGATGAGTCATACAGTTTTGTGTCAAATTGAGACTTATTTTCTTCCCTTCAGTTTGTGTCACCTTGAAAAACCTCAAACTGTTTGTAACCCCCCCCCCCCCGACTTTGTGCACAGTCACACCGCCTCCAAAGTTTACTTTGCTTTACTTTGTCTACACAAATCTTAAAAACAGTTAATCATTTATCAGTCTATTACTTCATCTTATTAAGTATGACGGGACTGGCAGCCTTGCAGCGCAGCCAGCAAGACAATAGACTTTACGTGTTGTCAACAGCAGGGTCACAAATGTATTATTTCCACTACAGCTGAAACTAACGGTGGACTTTTGATTGAAATTAATTGGTTCCGGTATAGCAACATATTTTCATCCTGAGATATTTGCTTTCTCTTTTCATTTTTTTTGCATCCGTCGTGTTTTAGACACACACATCCACTTCCTCTTAGTGATTCCTCCAGAGGGTCTCCTGACGTGTTCTTACACGGACTCCTTCAGACATTATCCTCGATTTTTACAGGGGGGCTGGAAAGTCTGCAGCCTCTTGCTCAGATTCACCTTACAACAACTTACACTGAGAAACTTTCAGAGCCATCTAAAGTAAGTTGGCACTGTTTTTTTGTTTTTTTTTACAGACATACTGATTCTACGGTGGTCAAGAAAGCTCAACGCACTGCAAATTAAAGAAAACACACGCAAATAGAAAAACCGTTCAACAACAACTGTTCAGATTAAGAAAATAACTTCATCAACTTGACATGCAAATACAGGATGTGCAGCGTGTTTCTGTATTTGCCTGTGTTGTGACTTTTTGCAGCGTGTTTCTGTATTTGCCTGTGTTGCAGTGCGTGTCTCCTCAGATTGATGAAGTTGTTTCCTTAATGTGCACGTGTCTTTTCTATATCTGCAGGTGTTTTCTATATTTGCAGGTGTTTTCTATATCTGCAGGTGTTTATTCTATATCTGCAGGTGTTTTCTATATTTGCAGGTGTTTTCTATATTTGCAGTGCCTCCAGCTCTCTCTGCAACCTAATGAGTCACCTCATCCCACATGTAGTTTGCATGTTTCCGGTCACTCACTGCTCCTAGACAGATGTTCCCAGATGTTCCTGAGTTTCCTCAACTTGACACCTGACGAGGCCAATCAGCGCCGCACATGGTCACGTGACGCAGTTGCCACACAGACGGCGGCGTGTCAGCCAATCAGGGAGCCGGACTCTTCTGCTCGCACTGCGTGTGACGATGGAGCAAAACAACAACAAGCGTTTTCATGAAATGTTGTGAATCATGGCTGCTCCTTAATCCACGTCCGTGAGGACACACACGACGAGACCCTGTGACACACACACTGACACTGACCGTGTGTGTTCATGTGTGTGTGTGTGTGTGCGTGTGTGTTCACGCAGCTTTTGTTCCCAAACTAAACGCAGTCGCTGCTCTTCTCTCTGCAGTGCGATTAACCTCAATCTTTAAACCGGGGTTAGAAGAAGACGCTCAGAAATCACAAGTGAGGAAACACAAATAAAAAAAAACCCAACAACAACACAGAGCTTCTTCCGCCTGATGCAGCTGAAGTCTGCGCGTCAGACCAACAATAACACGACAGATGCGCAAATAACAAACAAAACAAAACACGTAGGGTTTCCGCAAACGTTCCTCCGCAGCGCGGACTGAGGCGATCGGTAGAAATAGTTCGCTTCGTCCTCAAGTCACCGTGTGGTTGTTGGGACAAGTGAGCTAAAGTTAACCTGGCTAACGTTAGCTGCTGTAGGGCCCGAGTGCGCCATCATCCAAACAGAGACAAAGCGGGTTAGGTAAGCGCTGCTCTTCTCTTCCTGCTGCCGTCGCAAAACACCGCAAACACCCCGCAAACTCACCGCAAACTCGAGCTGACAACCAGGGAGCTAGCAAACTCGCGAGCTGCCGCTAGCCTCACAACAAAGAGATGAAAACAAATACTCACAGAGTCGTGTCGCACCAACGCGCACCTTGTGAACCCCGGGCTGCTCCGTGCACTGCGGCGGTCGGTCAGTGACAGTCTCCGGGAGGAGAAGCGGAGAGTCTCCTCTGCAGGAGGACGACAGGACTAGTTACCCGTGTTGACAGTTAACCGTGTTGACAGATAACCGTGTTAACCAGCTGGTTGGTGTCTGCAGGTGAAAGTAGCACGAGCTCGAGCCGCCGAGTCCGAGGGAAGAAGAAAGAAACAGCTGAGCAGAGGATGTAAACACAGGTCACGTGGTCTGAGTGTTGTCGACAGAGAGAAGCACTGTTGCTCCACATCTATCTATCACCTATCATCTATATATATCTATAGCTAT